TCCTGAAAATCCACAGAAATGACAGTAAAAAGTACACATAAAGGGGAATTAATTCATAAAAGCTCTGAGAACAGAAGGGGAGACAACAGAGGACTAAACTTACGGAGAATTTGAGAAGCTAGAGGGCGAGTGGGGTGGATTGACAAAAAACAGACTAAAAGAAGCCCCAGCCCAAGGCACACAAGAGAGAACCAGGGAGGGAACCATCAGGGTCAGCAGTTGAGAGCCAGGATGGAAGGAAGTGAAACAATTGAGGGGATCCACAGAAGAAGTACCTGCAGAACTGTGGCACGACCACCCCACACAGCTCTGCCCAGGGTGCCCTCAGAGCGAATCCAAAATAATACCCCACGCACCTGGGAGGATTCCGGGGGGGGGGAGCTGCATTCCCAGCACGAAGAGCAAATCCCCAGAGTAAATTCTCTCTCATTTTAGCTCTAAGAGGCCTGTTCTATTAGCCTGTTACCAACTAAACACGCTTCATGTAACCTCTGCCACTGGACAGGCTCCACATACCCCCCCGAGAGCTGGACAAGCAGCTGTTTATCCAGGAGAGCTGCACAGACCCATCCAAGTGCTAAATCAGCCAAACCCACTCCTTCATGGACAATCTAGGTTCACCAGCAGCTTAGGTAAATGAGCCTAACCCATGGGAAGGAACACCATAAACCGGGCAGTTGACTTTGGAGGAAATAAATAATTTAAGTCAGTTGACAAGAGTTTTTAAAAATCTTAATGAGAGTCTTCAGAAAAAATGGACAAGGTGTGGGTCTATGAATGCAAAAACAGCTTGATATAAAAAGATGGCAAGGGAAGGATAAACAGAAAGTCACAGAAATTAAAAATATAATTACGAAAGTAAAATTCAATAGAAGAGGTGCAGGGAAAAGACAAAGTTGAAGAAGTCTTTCAGAATGCCTAATAAAAAAACAAGAGGAAGAAGGTGAGACGAGAAAGACTCAGAGACATGGAAGATGCATGAAGATGGACCCACGTTTGGCTAATAGGAGTTATGAAAAGAGACAAAGAGAAATGGAAAAAGAAAAATCATTAATCAAAGAAATAAGAAGAGATGATTTCCCAGAGATGAAGAAGAACCCCTGTGATGAAAAGCTGCAGTTCCTGACTGCCTCGCCTGTTCCAGCCTGTAATTCAGCTATGATGGCTAGAGCTCCAGGAGCCCTTTTGGTCCATGAATTGACCTTACCAATAACAGAAGCCAGGTGTGGTGGCACACACCTATAGTCCCAGCTACTCAGGAGGCTGAGGCAGGAGGATCACTTGAGTTTGAGACTAGCTTGGGCAACAGAGCAAGGCCCCATCTCTTAAAAAAAAAAAAAAAAAAAAAAAAAAAAAAAAAAAAAAAAATTAAAAAAAAAAAAAAAAGATAGAAATTTGGATTCTTTGTTGTGCCTTTGAGCTCCATTCTAGTCTTGAAATATCTACCTCCCAACTTCTCTGTAAAAGAAATAAACTTTCATCTTGGGGAGGCCAATGGATTTCTGCAGGTTTTCTGTTATGTGCAATGAACCAGTTTCTAACTCTGTGCTGTCCAATATGGTAGTCATTAGCCACATGCAGTTATTTAAATATAAATTAACTAAAGTTAAATAATTAAAATTCAGGTCCTCAGTCACACTGGCCGTATATTAATAGCTTAATTGCCACTTGTAGTTAATGGCTATTATAGTGAGCAAAGCTGAGATAGAACATTTTCATCATCGTGGAAAGTTCTGCTGGACAGCACTGCCCTAACTGACACAAATCTCTTCTCACAAAGATGCTTGTGTTCTGGCAAAAGACAAAAACAATCTACCCTCTGGAGTATCCAACAGAATGTGTGCCATTGTGAGGTATAATTATGGAGGTCAAAAGGGCCTCCTAGAAAAAAAGCATCTGGGATGAACTTGAAGGCTCAATAGGTGTAGAGGGTGTGCTTGGAAGATTATGCAGCTTCAACAAAATCTGGAAGCAGAAAGCACAAGTCATGTTCAGAGTCATCGAATTTTATTAATGTGTAGGATCATGCAGGAAATAATGTCATGTCTTGAAATAACTAATGTCCTATAAACTCATTGATGACAGAAATTCTCTAATGGCCACTGCTTCTGGCCCGACTCTGAGCATATGACAGGTGATATCCCCAAAATAACTGCTTACTAAGACGCAGACTTTTGCATAGATATAAGGTCAAGTGTGCAATTTTATTTTATTTGTAGGTATTATATCATTTTGATCTGAGAAATGGCCATCCTATAGGCAATAAATATTGTCAAGGAGACTTCACCACAATTCACCAATGAATGTACCTTCTTATTTTGCAGCAGCTGCTAACAAATTGGGAGAAAGAACAAAACCACTCTGGATATCACACATCAGAATGACCGGTTCAAATGGGTGGTCCGCTCCTTTCATTTTATTAACTATTTCCTTGAACACATATTTTTACACCAAACAAGTTTCCTACAGAAGCAGATATTTAACATACAGTATCATAAAATATTTAACACTTATATGTATTCTTCTGGGGGTAGACACTTGGTTTTGGGTGCTAACGCTTGGCTCATCTACATACAGATATTTACCAAGGAACTACATACATCTATTCCTTCCAAATAAAGACACATCTAAATACTTGGGTTATTTCTGCACTATTTATGAAGATTAAAATGCATTTGAGCATTTTCCTTAAAGACCTTTATATGAAAGGTCAGATTTTGTAGCAAATCACGAAGCAACAGAGCACAGAATTAGCCTAAAGAGAATTGGATTCCCAGATGGGGCCAGGGAACCACAGGGTTGAAGTTTCTATTCTACCCATAGGATTGGAACCCAGTTAGTACTCAGGTTTAGCAGGCAGAAAAGTCAATGCACATTTGTTTTGCAACAATAAGAAGCATTCACGGTACACCTTCTCCATGCAGAAAGCTGCTATAGGACATGGGGCCACCAGGATGCGCAGGGCAGAAGAGAGGCCAGCTGTCACGGAATCCAGGCTCCTGAGATACGTCCCATGAGAACAGAGCACCATGGTTCCCATGGTGGTTACACGGGACCGCTTATTGCCAGTTCATGGATATACACATGAATTTTCAGCAACAAGGAACAGGAAACATCTGAAAAGATAGCTGTCCCTTAAAAACTCAGCTGCCAACAGCCTGCTAATTTGACAGTTTTCAAACGATTTGAATGTGTTATGCATGCTCCTGTCCATGCCAGCACCGTTTCTTTCCTGGATTCTGCATTCCTGGGGGGAGGCGTCGAGTGTATAAGTTACTGATATGGCTACACCCAGGCCTCAACAGGAGGGGTCCTTCTTCTGCACCAACAGCTCACTATTGTGTGACCTAGTGGTCCTCTGCTTTATTTACATTATTTCCATTGAGTGCAGTCTAGATGTGAATGTCCAAAACAAAGCAGAAAATAGTAATCACATCAAAAGTTATTACAAGAGTGAACTGTGAGAGCTGTAAGGACTCTAGCCCTCAGCTTCAGAGAAGGACCACACACAGACCTCCTGGTGTCCAGGACACTGCTCTCTGACCACTGGCCCCTGTGTCCTTCCTTAGTATTTACCCCATCTAGTCATTTATTTATTTATTATTTTATTGTTACTCTTTTTGAGATGGAGTCTCGCACGGTCACCTGGGCTGGAGTGCAGTAGCACAATCTCGGCTCACTACAACCTCCAGTTCATGCCTCTAATTTCTTTCTTTCTTTTTTTTTTTTTTTTGAGACGGAGTTTCACTCATGTTACCCAGGCTGGAGTGCAATGGCACGATCTTGGCTCACCGCAACCTCCGCCTCCTGGGTTCAGGCAATTCTCCTGCCTCAGCCTCCTGAGTAGCTGGGATTACAGGCATGCACCACTATGCCCAGCTAATTTTTTTTGTATTTTTAGTAGAGACGGGGTTTCACCATGTTGACCAGGATGGTCTCGATCTCTTGACCTCGTGATCCACCCGCCTCGGCCTCCCAAAGTGCTGGGATTACAGGCTTGAGCCACCGCGCCCAGCCCCGAGCATTTCTTTAAAATGAAAAGCAAACCCTACAGTGCTTTACAAATTTATAAGAAGCTCTCACAATTTTGCAGTTCTCATGGCCATCGTGTGCAGTCAGTGCAGATGTGGAACCTGAAATGAGATGATTCAGGTCACACAGGAGTGAAAGGCAGGGTTAGGACCTGAACTCGGGTTTCTCTGCTTCAGTCCAGGTTGGAGAAGATGGGGCTCCCTGGGCAATAGGCTGGGCCCTGACCTTCATTGGCTACTAAAGAGAGATTGACATGCCAGAGTTGAGACTCCAACGCAGATCCACTGTGAGCCATTCAAAGCAAGTTTGGCTGTGAGCATGTGCTACAAGCAGCAATGGGCACCTTGAACCCCTGTAATGCCCCCAGATACCCATTTGGAAGCCCGGGGTTGAGCCCAGATAAGACAGTAAGAGTCACAAAGACTTCCACAGCACATAAGGCAAGGTTTGTAGCATGAGGTTTTATGTCTGGGTAAGTGCAACACCATGACTGACAAAAGTATAGTTAAGAAAATTCCACCTTTGGACAATTATGAACACAAGCCACGAATCAAAAGTTTAGGCAAGGAGAGCCAAGAAGACATCTCAGAGCAAATGAACAGGATGCTTCCGATGGAAAGAATCAGGCCACTGTGTTCTTCCCTGAAAAGCGTGCATAGCTCAGAGTGCAGCCAGCAGAGTGCGGACCTGCTTCTGGGGAGAAGCAGCAATCCCACCTGGCGTCGATATCACAGCTTTCCTTCCCATCACAATCCTGGTGTTCACTCTGGATGCTGTGCATTCCCCGAGCACATGCCTGCTAGGTGGAGAGTGGGTGGGGCCCCCAGAAATGGGTGGCAGCGGTAGGCACCATAGGATGCAAAAGGACAGTAAGAAATTGCCCTGACTGTTCCCAGAGTGGATAAGCAACCCTTGCATGTCAGACAGTCACTAGGAACTGAACCAAGAGAGCCTCAGACCCATGTCTGAGCTGGGAAAGAGAGAAAGGGGATGCTAGTGATCTCGCCTACCCCTCTGCTGTCGCTATGTCATAGGTGAGCAAATAAAGGAGAAAAGGGTCACAGAGAGGAGCACTTTGTGCTTAATTCCTTCTGGGGAACCTGCAGGCAATTCTGAAGCCATGGCAACAAATAATCTCCTTAAAGGTCTTCCGCATCTCTCGGCTGCGGAAGGCATATATGAGAGGGTCGATCACAGAATTACACATGATGAGTATGAGGTACATATTGAAGTGAGACATGAAGCAAGAGCAGTAGAGGTTCTGAGGGCAAGAAAGCATTAAAATGAGATGGAGGAAGAATGGGGCCCAGCACCCGATAAACACGCCCAGCAGCATGGTGAGGGTGACCGCACCCTGCATGTTGGTCCTCTGCCGCACAGAGCTGGCCCCTGGCAGAGCCGCGATCTGCTTGACATGGGTCCGTGCCAGGAGGAACATGTGTATGTACAGAGACACCAGGAGGAACAGCATGGTGAAGAACATGGAGATGAGGCACACGATGACGTAGGTGGATTCGGAATACACGATGAAGACAATGCCACAGCCCGTGCAGAAAGCCCAGATGCCGGCGATGATGGCACCCGAGCGCCTCGCCGTCATGATGTGGTGGTAGCGCAGCGCATAGAAGATGGTGATGTACCTGTCCACCGCGATGGCCAGCAAGCTGCACATGGACGCCACCACAGAAATGCAGATCATGGAGTCAAACACGTTGTCAATGTGGCGCACAAATGTGTCTGCTATCACTAGGTGCTTGTTGTTGAGTAGGTAGATGGTGATAGTCTCCCAGGCATTGGACATGCTCACCAGCATGTCAGCCACTGCCAGGCTGCACACAAAGAAGTACATCGGGCAGTGCAGGTTTCTGTTCTTCACTATGGCCCCTATGACCAAGATGTTCTCCAAGAGGCTGATGAAACCAAGAGTGAGGAACACCTCCATGGCGATGCCCATGTCTTCACATGGTGAAGACTTGTTCTTGACATTAGGTCCTGAAAGGTTGCCCTCTGTGGCATTCAGGTTGAGATCCGAGAAATGCAGGTGAAATGAGGAATTCATTGCTGGAGAAATACAGCTTTTGTCTTGGCACCAAATTTACTGTAAAACATGTTTTAAATTCACAATCCAGAGAAGTTAGCAGCCTACCAAAGAAATACAGCAGTTTGCCCAGACCAGCACAGCCTAAGAAAGGAGGTGAATGAGCACAGTGTGTCGGAGGACTGAGCTTGCCTTGCTCAGTGCTCAAGACAGGGTCTCCCTGTGTTGCCCGTCTGGTCTCAAACTCCTGGCCACAAGCCATCCTTCTGTCTCAGCCTCCCGAAGTGCTGGTACTACAGGGGTGAGCCATGTGCCCTGCTGCTGGCTTGTGCCTTCTGACTTGCATTCCTGAGGCCTAGAATAATGCCCCTGGACACGCAGATTAGAATTATCACCAGTCGATTCTGATCTCCTTGCTTTCAGCTCCCAGCCTTTCACATGCATCTTGCTAGAGAGACACTCACCTCCACATGCCCAAGACAGTTGCATGTTTTATGCCTGCTCTCCTGGGCCCAAGTTCCCTATCGAAAGTGTCCCCAACTCAGAACCTACGAAATCCCAGCCAGTCTCCCGATGTCCACATTCCTAAGGCTGCTGCACAACATTCTCCTCAAGGGAGCTCCAATTTAAGGCTGCGCAGACCCATAGTCCCTTAAGAGAGACAGACAGGTGCATCCTCAACATTTGTCCTAACACTTCTCAGACCCACTGGGATTCGGCCTCCACAGCTGTAAGTAAGGCTATAACCAAAATGGTCTGTTACCCTGAGCAAAATCACATGTTAAAAGCTACTGTCTTAAGTTTGTAAGTGTAGGCTGCACATACATGTTAAAATTGGGGAAAGCAGTGCTGTTTTTTCCTCAATACCTATTTTTCGCTCACTTCTGCATTATGTGGAATTTCATGAGGTCTGACTGATAGTTTATAAGGTCCATGTAAGCACAGTATAAAGAAACAGCGATTTAAATGTACTAAGCTCTAGAGCAAGACATCACATTCCTTTGTTGCAAAATGTCTCTGTTATGATTCATTTTCAAAAATCCCTTTACCCTCCAAACTCAGATCACATCTGGAGAGAGAATTTCTGTCATCACTCTCATCATTAATATTGGTAATCATTTTGGGAGGGAGGGAAGAGGTGAAGGACAGCAAATTAGGTACAGTGTACACTGTCGGGGTGATGGCTACACCACCACTATGCAATATATCCATGTCACAAAACAGCACCTGTACACCCTAAACCTAGAAAAATAAAAAAGGAAAAAATCGGAATTCATAAGCAGTTATTGAACTGCAATCATTTGTTATATGCTTATGTCCAGTTCCAGCTCAGAGATATCAGTCAATTACGCAATTATACTAAACATCATACAGAGCTGTGTTAAAAACTCACGGGGCAAGCTACCTGCCGCCCCGCTCTCTTCCACATGCAGCAGAAGTACCATTTTGCATGCTTTCCCAGGATCTCAAGGAGATAGAAAGTTGTGGCTATTTACCGGTGCTCCTCCTCACGGGCCGCAGCGTTCAGCCCGGGCCCCCGGCGTCCCCGGGATCTGACGGCCGCGCGGCGCTCAGGGCCAGCCCCGGACCGGCCTCTCCCCCGGCGAGGAGGCTCCTGCTCCGCCAGGCTTTAAGCCTGCTGCCCGCCCGCGCTGGGCCCGCCTCCGCATCGCCGGCTCTCGCGCCTAGCGGCCTCCGCTGCCACCTAGTGGCCTAGCGCGGCACAGCGCCCAGAGAACCTCGTCAGCCCGGAGCGAAAATCCTCCCTGCACTCCTCCTGATAGGAAGGTAGGTAGGTGAGTAGGTGGGTGGGTGGGTAGGTGGGTAGGTGGTGGGTGGGGAGGTGAGGTGGGTGGGTAGGTGGGTGGGTAGGTGGGTGAGTAGGTGGGTGGGTGGGTGAGTAGGTGGGTAGGTGGATGGGTAGGTGGGTGAGTAGGTGGTTGGGTGGGTAGGTAGGTGAGTAGGTGGGTGGGTGGGTGAGTAGGTGGGTAGGTGGGTGGGTAGGTAGGTGAGTAGGGTGGGTGAGTGGTTGCTTGTTTGGTTGGTTGGTTGGTTGGTTGAGGGGGTGGGTGGGAATTAGTTGGATAGGAGGGTGGTCGCTTGGTTAGTTAATTGGTTGAGTGGGTGGGAGGGTGGTTGGTCAGGTGAGTGGATGGTTACTTGGTTGCTTGCTTCTTTGCTTGGTTAGTTGGGTGGATGGGTGGGGGTTAGCTGGTTGGGTAGGTGGGTGGTTGCTTGGTTAGTTGATTGGTTAAGTGGGTGGGTGTTTGCTTGGTTGGGTGAGTGGATGGTTATTTGGTTGCTTGGTTGGGTAGGTGGGTGGGGATTGGCTGGATAGGTGTTTGGTTGGTTGGTTCGTTGATTGGTTGGTTGGGTGGGTGGGTGGTTGCTTGGTTAGTTGATTGGTTAAGTGGGTGGGTGTTTGCTTGGTTGGGTGAGTGGATGGTTATTTGGTTGCTTGGTTGGGTAGGTGGGTGGGGATTGGCTGGATAGGTGTTTGGTTGGTTGGTTCGTTGATTGGTTGGTTGGGTGGGTGGGTGGTTGCTTGGTTAGTTGATTGGTTAAGTGGGTGGGTGTTTGCTTGGTTGGGTGAGTGGATGGTTATTTGGTTGCTTGGTTGGGTAGGTGGGTGGGGATTGGCTGGATAGGTGTTTGGTTGGTTGGTTCGTTGATTGGTTGGTTGGGTGGGTGGGTGGTTGCTTGGTTAGTTGATTGGTTAAGTGGGTGGGTGTTTGCTTGGTTGGGTGAGTGGATGGTTATTTGGTTGCTTGGTTGGGTAGGTGGGTGGGGATTGGCTGGATAGGTGTTTGGTTGGTTGGTTCGTTGATTGGTTGGTTGGGTGGGTGGGTGGTTGCTTGGTTAGTAGGTTAGGTGGGTGGGTGGGTGAGGGGTAGTTAGTTGGGTAGGTGTGTGGTTGGTTGGTTGGGTCAGCGGGTGGGTGGTTGGGTGGGTGCCTGCTTGGTTGTTTTCTGGCCGGTTGCACTTTTGTTTCTTTTCTCTTCCTCTTGTGCACTGATTAAAATGCTCCCAAGCTCAAACATGGCTCTGTCACCCCATTTGTCCTTGACGGCAGCCTGAGATCTCCTGACGATTGTTCTTTGGGAAGAAGACGCAGTGCCTGGGGGCCCTCACTGCCCGAGGCTCTCACCTCTCCTCCAGGACTGCACCTGCCGTGCCAGGCTCTATCAACCACACGGGCTTTCCTTACTCCAGCAAAAAAGAGAACAAAGAATGTCCTCTCGCCAAATATCCTGGCCTTTTGCAATCGTTTCTGGACCACTCCTTTCTCTAATACCTAAAACTGACCTTTACCCCAAAGAATCATTATACCCATGATACAGAGAAGCGCCACTGCCTCCTCAAGCCAGGGCAGAATGCACAGGGCCACATCTCCGTGGGCTTCACAGACGATTACAATCTTGCAGCAGTGTGAATATGGGGACCACAGTCTGACTGACTTCACACCACTCAAGTCCTGAGCCGCAGGATGGAATTCTAGGAAGAGGTTCTGAATGTTGAGAATACACATTGGGAATGTGGTGTGAGGCATGGAACCTGTTTCTCTGTGTTGAAAGCTTGGGCAGAGCCAAGCATTTCCGTATGTAGTCCTCACATCTAAGATCAGAGAGGGCTCTGCAAAAGATCCTGGCGTCCCAGGAAAGTGCTCAAAATGGAGGTTTCTGTGCAAGATGAGCAGCTGGACCCAAGCATATGGCCTCCCACACTGGTCAGGGTGACCGGCCTGGGGACCCTATGTGTAGGGGTGACCCTGAATGCTGCACAAGAATTATCTTCCTCAATCTTTTTGTTTGTTTGCTTGTTTGTTTGTTTGAAACGGAGTCTCACCTTGTGGCCAGGCTGGAGTGCAGTGACACAATATCAGCTTATTGTAACCTCCGCCTCCTGGGTTCAAGTGAGGTCCTGCCTCAGCCTCCTGAGGGGTCGGGCACAACTCTGTGTCTGTTGCTCTCGTGGCACCAGCACACTCTTACCAAATGTCATCTCTGTGCTCAGTGCCACCAAGAGTCTGGATGAGGGCACTAGAGCCCTGCTGTAAGGCAAAGTGTCCCCAAGTGAATGCTGAGAAAGCAGGACAATTACAAGCGCTGGGTTGCAACTATTTTTAAACTCCAAGGATTACAAAATACTTCCATATATTAACTTATTTGATCCTTAAAGCAACCCTGGGAGGTATAACATTATTATCATATTCCTAGACATAGACTCTGAGGCTCATGGAGTTTCTGACACTTTTTGGCTGCTCAGTGGTGCCACCTGCTGTTGATCCAACCCCAAGCCCATGTTTATGTAGTTGCACTTGCCCACGTTACACAGGAACATTAGGCAATGCCATCCTAAATATGCACGAGTTTCCCACCTTACTTAGAGAAAAGGGAATGAACATTTGTTGGGAGCCTGCAGTGTCCTGTACTGTGGTCTGCATGTCCGTATTCTCAGTGAATTCTCCAAGCAGCCCCATAAAGTCGACATTCTTCCTACCATCTTACAGATAGAAAAGCTGAGGCTCCGAGTAATCATGTGACTTCTCAGCTGGTGATCAGAATCCAGGCTTCCAGGAAGTATCTGTGCTTATCACAGTCTAAGGACTCAAGTCCTGTGCCTCGGTCCCATTGCCACAGAGGAGGAAACACGGGTGCCCTGGCATCCCACAGGCAGGCATCGAGAAGCATGGGGAGGGAGTGAAGCAAAGGGAAGAGAGTTGGACAGGCAGAGAGGCCCGTGGCGGGGGACGGGGTGGGCCAAAGCAGGAGGTGGAAGCTGAGGGCTGAAGGGTAAGATGCTGTCACCAGGTGGCAGGAGGCTGGGGAGCATCTAGTCAGGGCACTAAGGCGGGAGGGGTGGGTGTCTTGGAGGAAGGGAGAGAATGCCAGTGACTGGGGAAAGAGCCAGTGAGGGCATGCAAGGCCTTGCAGGTTCCACGAAAGTTCTGAGGCTGAGAGCAAGGGGAAGCCTTGCCAGGGCTTAAGCAGCAGCACAACACTTTCAGATTTGTAGTGTCAGAGCAGCCCCACCGTGGCAAGGAGATGGCACTGGAGGAGCTCAGGTGGGAAGAAGGGGGCATATCAGTGGCAGAACCTCACAGCAAGATGAACAGGCCCCGGGGCGGGATCCCTTTCTCCACCTCCTGCCTGGGGATCCTGCCAATTCATGCTCAGGCCCAACTCCTTGCAGTTG